TCTGATGGTATTCGTATGTGGCGCTTTGTCCTTACTCAAACTTTGGCAACAACCACTACTCAACTCAACTGAGATTTACAGATCCATTGTAGATAGAAAATACTTCTTCAGTTTATGTCCTTGAGTGACACTAGCCTGGGACCAGGATTTTCTAAGAGAAAATCGTGCTTCTTCCTTTATTGCTTGGAAAGGGGTTGACATGCTTGTTCTTCACTCCATAGTTCTCTAGCTGTTGCTTCTGCTTCAAGTTTGCAATGAGTTTGTACAGCATTCTGAAATAATTAGCTTTGCTCAGATCAGAAAAGTGCTAGCAGGTATGCAAACCAAACAACTGATATTATGATGTTTTTATTTCAGCGACTACCTGAGAAAAGCAGCTTTATCAAATCATACCTTTAAATCTCTTACATATATTTTAATTGTAGAGAATGCTACCATGGACTAAATGCAAAAATAACCTAGATGCTGTGTGAGGGAGGAAAAAACTTATGTGTAGGTTCTTTTATTCTGCCTCTTTATTTTCTACCCCTCAAAACTTAGCAGTAGGCATGAGAAGTATGATCGAGGCTTTTTTGTTCTTGGGAAAATAATAATGTTTAAAATTAGAATACAAAACAACTGGAGTGGGTAATATCTCGGAAAAGATTACTACAGGTTCTATGACTTCCCATAATTACTTGCTTTAATAATTATTAGCTATGTTTTACAGTCTTTTTTTAAAAGCCTGAGGAAGACTTGTCTTTGTATTTTATTTATTAATAACTTCAGTTGTCTAGGCTTGGGTTTGAAAAGCCTATGAAAACTAATAAGGCTAAATAAGACTTCAGTTGGCCTTAGTAAGCTCAGTACACCTGAAAAATACCTCTTTCCATTTGTGCTGTTTCCCACAGTACTAGATTTCTGATAATCGAAGACAAATGGTATAGAATACAAAGGAAAAAAATAATAAAAAGAGCTGCAAGAGCACTTGAATTTGATACAGAAAAGGCATTTGATGATATAGGATGGGTTGCCACACTGCATGTCACAGATACCTTCAACGCTTTCAGGTTTGAAAGATGAATATCTACAATCTGTAGCCATCCTGCAGTGGAAACACACACTTCATAAAGCAGAAGGTCATAAAGCAGAAACACTTATTACATTGATAACCTCATTCCTACACTTTACAATTTCTAGATACTGAAAAAAAGGTAACTTCTGTAATTACTTCCACTAGAAAAATGTGCCAGAAGACTGAAGCCTTTTGATGAAGACCTACTTGCTTTTATTTTCTGTTTATGAGAAAATAATTAATAGTGCAGCATATCGTCATGCCAGAGAATGCAAAGTTGGTAAGACACTACTTTGACCCCATGCTGTTATACTGGCATTCATCCTGTAATTCTGATAGTGTTAGTAATAGGTGAAATTGTGTGTTGAAACAATAATACAAAGAGAAAAGATAATTATATTTGAAAATCTGTTAATCAGTAGAGGGGTTTTATGTATTAGGAAAGTTTAAGAACAAGCTGAAATTCTTCTATTGTGTATCTTAGTTACTTTATAACTAAGCATTACAATGGTAGCTATAACAATAAGCAATTAACATAGCCATATATGGGAAAGGGTATATGGGTGGATTTAGGGGAGTATTGTGAAACTCTACTGAAGCAGAACTCACGAACGTATCAGGAGTAGTCAAGTGAAAATAAGAGAATGCTGGCGTCCACATAATGGTTGGGACATGTCCAAGGAACAAAAAGTGAACAGGACAAGCTGAGGAAGACTTCTTACTTCATCCGAGGAAGACTCCTTACTTCATCAGGATGACCACCAGAGGGGGGCTGCCCAAGCGCAAAAGAGGCTGATGTCGTAATAGACTGATGTGGCAATCCTTGATGCATATGTATTAGTCAATGATGCAATCTGTGTTGAATATGTATTAGTTACGACATTTTTAGCGTATAAAATGCAAACGCGATGTGACAAGCATGAAGCCAGATTTGGGTGAGTGCCCCTGGTTTCCCAGCGCTGCAATAAAGCATCTCATATAACCATTCCGGTGGTTATGTGTCAGTTCTTACGCTAACATTTTGGTGACCCAGATGGTACCTCGCGGGCATTGCTGAGGCAGATCGTGTCTCGATCCTGCTCCAGCCGGCACCGAGAAATTCTCGGGGAGCCATCGACCGTGACCGACCTCCACTGCTCATGACGGACCTCTGATACGGTAAGAAGGTGCTTTTTTAATTTGGTTACGGTACTGATATTCGATAGCGTGTAGTGTACCGACTTCTGTTAAAGCCTGCCTGTTAGACGCGGCGAAAGCTGCATTCGGTTTGGCGAAGTCTGGTCTGGTAAAGCCTGCCTGTGAGACACGGCAAAAGCTGCGCTGGTTGAGCAGGGAGCTTCCGGGGTAAGCCTAGGCGCCGTCCATTAGGCAGTGATGAAAGTCCTGCAGGTTCAGCAAAACTTGGTTCGGTATTGGTTTATGCTGCAGGGACAGCATTGGTAAAATTACTGTAATATAGTGGTGTAAAGGAACTTGTCCTTTGAGAATTTTTGTACCTGCAAAATGCCGTCGATTCCAAAGTCATCCCCATTAGGCTGTCTCTTGAGCCATTGGAAAGAAGGGGGATTTGGGCAAGGCACACGGAAAAGTAAGCTGATTGATTATTGTAATGTTTGGTGGACACAATATGAATTGGAGGATCAAGAAAATGGCCTGAAAATGGGACTTTACAATACAATACTACTTTACAATTAATGTTGTTTTGTAAGAGGGAAGGAAAATGGGATGAAGTACCATATGTGGACCTCTTCTTTACTTTAAGAAATAATGAGGAATGGAAAAAATCTTGCGGACTTACGGTTGTTAAAATGAGTACAAATGAACAATGTAAGGGGTGTGTTGCAGGAAAAAGGTGTATTGGGTGTCTTGCCTTAGAAAATAGTCTGCAGCACCAGAGGGATGATGAAAACCTTGATATAGCAATAGCTCCGACAGCCCAGCCGGCAACAAACAGAGGGAGGAGGGAGGAGGATGATAGTGAGAGTGAGAGTGACTATGAATATAAAGAAGGTCAGAGGGCAGATCTCCCTACTACTCCAGTTTCACACAGAACTTGCCAGAGGGGAAATTGGGAAGGAAAAATGCAAACCCAGGTACCTAAAGCAGTGCTGGCGCCTTTAAGACAGAGGGTGGGAGCTGAGGGCCCGGTGTATGTTAAGGTACCCTTCTCGCCTGGAGGTTTAGTCATCTGGAAACGATCAGCAGGAACATAGAGAGAAAACCCTGATAAAGTAGCCCATGTAATGAAAATGATTATGAAAATTCAAAATCCAACTGGGGGAAAAAGGAGTGAAATTTTTAATAGACACAGGGGCTGCCTATTCAGTTTTAAATGATTTACATGGGAGGTTAGGGGAAAGAACTACAACAATTTTGGGAGCCACAGGGAAGGAGGAAATATGGCCATTCTTGCAGCCCCTAGATCTGTGATTTAGAGGGAAAGAATTAAGACGTGAATTTCTATATGTACCTGAATGCCCCATTCCCCTTTTAGGACAGGACTTATTGGCCAAATTGGATGCAATGATCATTTTTGAAAATGGTGAATTAATAATGCAAATTCCCGAATCAAAAGTAGGACAGATCCTGGTTCTTAAAGAAAAGCCTATTGCTCAAATCCCAAAGGAGGTAGAAGAGGCTGTAATACCAGTAGTTTGGGAAACAGAAATCCCGGGAAAATCAAAAGCAGCTCAACCAGTAACAGTGGAATTAAAAGATGGAGTTAGGCCAGTAAGAATAAAACAATATCCACTGAAGCTAGAAGCAAGATGTGGGATTATAAAATTAATTGAGAAATTTTTAAAATATCAAATTTTGGAAGAATGTGAATCAGAATATAACACTCTAATTTTTCCAGTAAAGAAAACCAAATGGTAAATATAGGTTAGTACAGGATCTGAGGGCAATAAATAAAATAACAAAAGATATCCACCCAGTAGTAGCAAATCTTTATACATTGTTAACACCTGTGAAGGAAAAATATAAATGGTTTACAGTGATTGATTTAAAAGATGCCTTCTTCTGCATTCCTCTTGATAAAAGTAGCAGGAAATTGTTTGCATTTGAATGGCAGAAACCACAGAGCAGACGAAAAACACAACTAACGTGGAGCAGACTACCACAAGGATTCAAAAACAGTCCAACTCTTTTTGGGAACCAATTGGCTAAGGAACTGGAGGCATGGACCACTCAAGGAAAGGTACAGGTACTGAGATCACAATATCTCTTATTGCAATACTTAGATGACATCTTTATTGCGACAGAACAAAAATTGTTATACATAAAGGTGACTACTGAAATACTGAACCAGCTAGGCCTGAATGGTTATAAAACCATTTTCTTTCTCAAAAGAAAAGGCACAAATTGCATGTACAACCATGCTGTATCTAGGATGTGAAATTTCACAAGGACAGCGAAAAATGAGAATAAACCACAAGGAGGCAATTTGTGCCATTCCAGAACCACGAAATTTACGTGAGGTAAGGATATTTTTGGGCATGGCAGGATGGTGCAGGTTGTGGATAATGAATTACGGAATCATTGCTAAACCCCTGTATGAAGCCCCAAAATCACATGCTTTTGTTTGGGACAAACCACAGGAAGAGGCCTTTAAAAACTGAAGGAGGCATTAACAAAATCACCAGCATCGGGACTCCCAGATTTGACAAAGGACTTTCAGTTATTTGTCCATGAGAGGCAGAGATTGGCGTTGGGAGTATTAACCCAGAAACTTGGAAGCTGGAAAAGACCAGTAGGATATTTTTCAAAACAACTGGACCCGGTAAGTGCAGGATGGCCTTCATGTTTACGAGCGGTAGCGGCAACTATTGTTCTAATACAGGAGGCCAGAAAACTGACTCTGGGAAAGCATATTGAAGTGTTTGTACCACATATGGTAACAACTGTCTTAGAACAAAAAGGGGGGTATTGGTTATCCCCTAGCCGAATGATGAAATATCAAGCAATCTTAACAGAACAAGACTATGTAAGTTTAAAAACCACTAACCTGTTAAATCCAGCAGCTTTTCTAGGAACCGACTTAGAGGAAGGAACTCTTGAACATAACTGCATAGAAGTCATCGAGCATACATATGCAACCATAACGGACTTAAAAGATGTACCTCTTGAACAACTGGACTGGGAACTTTTCACAGATGGAAATAGCTTTGTGGAGAACAGGACACGGTATGCAGAATATGCTGTGACAGCACACCAAAAGGTAATTGAAGCAAAAGCATTGCCTCCTGGGGTGTCAGCTCAACGGGTAGAGCTGATAGCTCGTACAAGAGCTTTGGAACTGAGTGGTGCCAAAAAGGTAAATGTATGGACTGATTCAAAGTATGCGTTTGGCGTAGTACATATACATGGAGCATTATGGAAGGAACAAGGACTGTTATCTTTACAAGGAACTAATATAAAATATCAAGAGGAAATTTTGAAACTGATAATTGCTGTACAAAAACCCAAACAGGTAGCCATTAAGCATTGTAAAGCACACCAAGGAGGAACTTCAGAGATATCTGAAGGAAATACACTGGCAGATCGGATAGCTCAACAAGTTGCCCAGAACGTATGGAGCATGATGGCCCTGATACCTCATAAGGTAAGCCCACTCCATACTTATCTTCCATAAGATCCAAAATGTTCAAGAGAAGATGAGAAGTTGGCAGGACTTTTAAAGGCTCAAAAGAATTCTGAAGGGTGGTATACAACAACAACTGGACAGGTAATAGTACCACCAGCAATAATGCGAAAAATCCTACAAACTGAACATCAAAAATGTCATTGGGGTGCAGAAGCATTGGTAACTTATTTAAAAAGAGGAATAATTTCCACACAGATGCTAACTATGGCAAAAGCAGTGGGGTTAAAATGTGAAATTTATTTGAAAAATAATCCAGTAGTAAAAAGACAAATTGAGATGGGGAGAATTAGGATAGGAGTGGAACCAGGAGATTATTGGCAGGTTGATTTTGTGGAACTACCAAAAATTCAAGGGTACAAATATCTGCTAGCAGGGGTTGACACTTTTTCTGGATGGCCAGAGGCCCTTCCCTGTTGCACCAATCAGGCAAAAGAAACGGTGAAGTGGTTGCTTAGAGAAATGATTTATGATCTGATTGATCAGACAGAAAGATTAGCCAGAGCAACGAGGAAGGGATTCAGAGACATGAATTTGCAGTTGCAAGCAACGACTAAAATGACCTTGCAGAACAGAATGGTGTTGGACATGTTAATAATTAAAGAACATGGTGTTTGTGAATATTTGAAAGACAGAATAGATCATTGTTGTATTCATCTTCCTAACGTAACTGCGAACATAGAATACGATATTTCCCAACTGACCAAAATAGAACAGGAAGCAGAAAAACAAAATGGAGTACATTGAACAAAGTTGGATTGGAGCACTCTTTGATAGTTTGGGCTTTCACCTTACAGGATGGATCCGTTCCCTCGTGCAAACTGTAATTGTGATACTGATTGTATTTATAATGCTATATCTGATGTATCTTTGTGTCTGAAAGGGGATAGCCCGGACCAGTGCATGGACTCATCAAATAATAGGAGCAGTGACAAGAGAATATCCAAAGTATCCAACACCCACGCCTACCTATCGAGACACAGAAACTTAAGGATGAAAATACTTGCTGAAATGAAGTATTTTCAAAGGGGGGAAATGTTAGTAATAGGTGAAATTGTGTGTTGAAACAATAATGCAAAGAGAAAAGATGATTATATTTGAAAATCTGTTAATCAGTAGAGGGGTTTTATGTATTAGGAAAGTTTAAGAACAAGCTGAAATTCTTCTATTGTGTATCTTAGTTACTTTATAACTAAGCATTACAATGGTAGCTATAACAATAAGCAATTAACATAGCCATATATGGGAAAGGGTATATGGGTGGATTTAAGGGAGTATTGTGAAACTCTACCGAAGCAGGACTCACGAACGTATCAGGAATAGTCAAGTGAAAATAAGAGAATGCTGGCGTCCACATAATGGTTGGGACATGTCCAAGGAACAAAAAGTGAACAGGACAAGCTGAGGAAGACTTCTTACTTCATCCGAGGAAGACTGCTTACTTCATCAGGATGACCACCAGAGGGGGGCTGCCCAAGCGCAAAAGAGGCTGATGTCGTAATAGACTGATGTGGCAATCCTTGATGCATATGTATTAGTCAATGATGCAATCTGTGTTGAATATGTATTAGTTACGACATTTTTAGCGTATAAAATGCAAACGCGATGTGACAAGGGTGAAGCCAGATTTGGGCACGTGCCCCTGGTTTCCCAGCACTCAATAAAGCACCTCATATAACCATTCTGGTTGTGTGTCAGTTCTTACACTAACAATAGGGCAGATGTCTTTACCAAGGTAGTGACCAGAAATAACCCTGATATTGCAAAGGCGGAGCAACTAGTGGAGCTGTTGGTTGGTCTTTTTCTACCTTTCATTGACACTTTGCTCTCCTGCACTATATCCTGTGTCAAATTCAGTTCTTTATCAACTGAGGAGGGAGACAAGCATGCTTGGTAGAGAATTAATCGAGGAATTTATCTACTCATATTAGTTATGTGCAAAGTGTGCCCCAGGCCCAATGCATGAAGGACCCTGATAACAGGGTGAGGTACATGACAATCAGGGGCATATTATTGCGTGTGAAGGCTGGAGTGCTTTGCCTCCTTAGGCAAATCTGCTGTTGCTTTTTTGTCAGCATGGGGTGTTCTTAGCTGGTCAGAGACTATTTCGGTTGGATTTTCAAGTCGCATTGACCCTGAGGTTACAAGCTCTTAGTTTCAGGTAGTGTTTGCTCTTCTAAGCAAGTCATATTGCAGTTAGTGCCTTGTCTTTTGTATGTGACTGAAGACTAATGCAGTTCTTGATCTTTAGCCCCTAAATGGCCATTTCTGATGTTTGTTGCACTGCATTGATTGCTAACATCTGTCTATACTGTGGAGTAACTGCACCGCTGCTCTTGTTTTCCACTGTGAATCATGCTCAAAGTATCTGTCTCTGGAGACAGACAGTAGAGGGCCTCCTGTCATGCAGAGACATGTCTTGGCAGAGTCAGGGATCTGATGTCTTAATTTCCACTTTTTTTTTTTTTTAAATAAAGGTCATCGAGGGAAGCTGCCAACAAAGAAAGAAAAGAAATAATTTACTTACACAAGGCTATTCTGCTTTATGAGCACGCAGAGGTTAGTCGTGACTGCTGGCAACTTGACCCTAACCTTTCCTCAGGGTCATCATGGTTGTTTGTAGTAGCTCTTGTGAGAAATTTCATCTTAGACCAGGTTTGCAGGAGACTATGTATCTGCGGTCCCAAGCTGGTGAAAACTGAGGAGAGAGGAGAATCTCCTCAGTGGGTAGTCCTCTCAACAGGAGTACCTCCTACATACAGACATCAAAACGAGTCAGCAGAGTGCTAAAATTAGCCAATGATCTTATCTGAAGATCTTGAAAAGTAGGTCACCATGCTCACAGATAAAACTGATGAATGCTGCTTGGTAAGGATCATGGGGAAAACTTCACAGATACTAATGCACAACCAACAAGTAGCCAGCATTTTATCCAGTAATTTTTCTATGTAGACAAGACGAGTCACATGTAGGCTTAACCATAAGCATGTGCTAAAGTATTTTGTTAAAAGAAGATTGGCTTGTTTTCAGTGTTGTGATTTTTCATCTCTCCTCCTTTCCTGGAGCAGATACCTGGAGAAGTAGAAACAATCTCTTGGTTGTCCTCAATGAATTAGCACTGTTGGAGGAATGAGGGGCCTCAAAGAGATGCAAACTTTTTGTTGAAGTGAATTGTTCAGGTCACAATCTCTCTCGCCAACTTTGTGTTTAGTTTTATAGCGGTGGTGTTTTTATCTAGATATATATTTTGTGGAAATGGGATGGCCCTTCTGGGGAAAATGTACTAACCGAGATAAGGTAAAACCAGCAAAACACTTCAAAGAGATCCGCTTTTATTAAACTGCTTTCTTTCTAAAAGATGCTGAGAGGCAAGTAAATTAAGGGTTGTGGTGGACATATTAGTAGTTCCCCATGTGTGTCGCCGGTCTTCATTATTGCCTATGACAAGAGCAGCTTAAATACAATAAAACCAATTTTTGGTGGTTTTACTTGCAACTCATTTAACATTCATTTATGCCTGTTTGGGTTATTCATCTGTTTGTGTAAATAGAAGAGAAATGTCACTCCATTGTGGGAAAGGTTAAAAAAAACACACCCATAAATGTAATTTTCCTTGGTAAAAGACAAACTAAGAAAGAGACAAGAAAAATAAAGAAAGGATTTTTAGTCTAAGTGAAAAATCAGAGAAGGGGTGAAGATAGATGGATGACATACAGTATAAAGGACATTTTGCATAGAACATAACAATATTAATAAATCCAGCAGAAAACAACAGAAAGTAAATACATGTATTCAGATTTTCAATACTCTTTTCCTAAAGGACACATGTTCCAATGAATAACTGAAAACTGGTTCTCTGGGATATGTCCCCAGGAAGGAGACAATATTTCGGCAGCATTCAGTAGTCTTTTAATAACCAAAATGATTCAAGTTAAGATTAAGGAAAACTGTTCACAGGTAATAAAATATGCAAACTTTGAATAACTTAGGAACAAAGGACTCAGTCCTGTATTTGCTTAGGTTTATAATGTATATAATGCCATTCAGGTCAACACCTTGAATAAAACCACTGAGGAGTTCCTAAAATGGAAAGAAAAGCATCATAACTTCATAAAAAGAGGATAAATGAAAAGAAGAAGAAAGCATGCAAATTTGTCAAGTTGAGCAGGGAGAAAGTCAGGTTATAATTAATGAGATAATGGATAAAGCAGAAAAATTGATTAGCACAAAAAGACAAACAACAAAAAAGCTACACAATAAGAGGATATATCTGAACAGCGGAGTATTGATAGATGCAGAACAAATGTTTAATGTAAATTCATACAGTTAAAAGAAATTAGCACTAGGTAAAACTGCTTTCAGAAACATCTGAGGTTATATTTCGCAGAAGGGAAAAATCAATGTGCAAATCCTGTTTAGACACTACTGGCATATGACTATATCACAGTATCACAGTTACACAGTATGCTAGAGATTGGAAGGGACCTCGAAAGATCATCTAGTCCAATCCCCCTGCCGGAGCAGGAACACCTAGATAATGTTACACAGGATATGTGCATATTCAAAATTAAAATTCCTGTGGACTTGTCAACATGTTTTCTTTTTTGGCAGCATATAAAGTACCTTTAAGCATTTTTGTTTATTTCTATGACTGTTTTAAGCCACCCTTTGATACAATTGAGATTCACATGAGATGTGAATATTCTATGCTATAGAATATTGCGTGATTGTAGAACCAAGCTGGATGAATGAGGATTTGCAAATAGTTGAGTATGTTAATTTGAGTCTGCCATCTCTGAGTTACTTTAGTCTTCGGTCTTTCTTCAGTTTCTAAGTATTCAAGGGTGTACCCGTGAATGATTTAAAAGTTTCTTTATCACTTTTTCAATAGAAACTATGACAGTGAAATCAAGCTTAGGGTACAGAACTTAGCTTTGTGCACCTAGATTTGAAGTGTTTAATTGTGGCTGCAGAATACACAATTTTATTAATTTTCATTTAGAGATAACAGTATCCATCTCTACTTGAGAAGTCAATAGCAAGTTTGGTATGAGAATTACACTTGAGGTCCATGTCTCCTTGAGAGAACTCTCAAGGTTTAAACTGGCCTGTTATCTCTTTTGTAGTAATTAGCTTGCAGTTTTTATTTACTGACTTAGAATTCTTGGTTGTCATTTTGAGAAAAGAGTAAATTGTATAAAAACAGGAAATGAGCTTTGCCTAATCACTCAAACACAGTTGTTTATGACTGGTAAAGAACAATATGCCTTTCACTTTTTTATGGTGGCTTTTTCATTGTTGTTGTTTTGTTTTTTTTTGTTGACAAATTTTATGAGAAAAAATAAATCTCATTTATTATAAAGAGAATTCAAGGCACTGCAAATTTCACAGGATCTTAAATTATAATGATAAATCAGTGAGAGAAGTATTCTACCACAAAGTTAATACTTGTCAGAGATCTTTAATGTACTTGTATTAGAGGTGACAGGAATGCCACAGTTTAAAAAAATTCTGTAAGACAAATAGCAATTTCTTATGTGAGATTATAATCAGATTCTAGTCCCAGCCCATGGAGAAACTAGCTAGTAAACAGGGGGAAAATAAAACTTTTTCTCTTACCTTCAAATAGACTAAATCTATAGCATTAAATTCAAGAGATGAAGGATATCCTTGTAAAATGAACAACAACAACAAAAACAATCCATAGTAAGAAATGGGTCACTGTGGGGCTTTCCTCAAGCTTTGTGATAAATAACTGCCTAAAATTTCCGTTGTTTTATAAAACCCTAGTGATCCAAAAGTAAGTATGGGGATTTGGTGAGATTTAGGATGACAACAAATATTTTGTGAGGTTTACAATGTTCAGTGAAAAACAGTATGTGAAGTTTTATTCATTATTTTAAACAGTGAATTTGGTTGGATTTGTCTACTTCAAGCAACCTTCCTGCAATGTTTTGATTAATGTTAGTGAGATAATGCCTAAATTATTAC